TCTATGAAAGTTTTATTGTCATGGCAAACAATCGAGAATCAATACTTCTATGAATGAAATTATAAATTGATTCGAATCAAGTATTTGTGATACAACAAGAAAACAAAATTACTCAGGTACCTTACCAATCTATGAAAAATGAAGGGATTTTTGTGATGGAGAAAAAACAGATTCATGAAAATTCTATCATTAACGGCATCAATCAGAGCATTTCACGTATTCTTTGAATTGAATCGCTTCTAAGCGATTCAATTGAAAGTGTCAATTTTCGGTTCAAATTGACAAATGCCACTTCGAAATGACAATTGTCAGTTTGAAGTGGAAATTTTTAGTACAAAGTGACAATGGGTAAGTGGACTGATAATGAACTATTGGTATTCAATTACTCCACTGTCGTTAGGAACCTAAATTAATATTTGCAACACATCTCACGCTCTTTTTGATCCGTTCTGCCAAGCTTGTGCTTAAAATACTCGTTACTAAAATGACGTTTATAACACTAGTTACATAACATACTATTGATACATGGACTATATTGTTTATGTATGATATATAAAATGTGAAACTTTCATGTATGGTTATGTAATAGCTATTGATGCTAAATAAAGCTCTATTCTATTCTATTCCAAAATCACCGCTGGTGAGCATACTTAGCAATTATATTAACTAGAATCTAAATGACCATCAGTTGCATCTTATGACGACTAATGAACATGATCACAACACCAATCACTACAAGCGCACTAGCTACTTTGATAGAGAACGTATTCAAAATTGAATTGCCAAAAAAAAGCAATTCAAGACCGATATTTCTACCCTGCCGTCTTGTTAATAACTACTCGTATCTTGTTACTAACTCTCCTCTGCTCAGCCCCGTTCTGCCGAATTTAATATTCCTATAAGTGCCCCCTTTTCAATATTCTAAGTATACAAACCATTTATATAAGTGGTCTCTAACAAGACCATCGCATAAACAATTCAAGTCAACTCGAAATAGTGAAACTAGCAGTTTCTTTTCAATAAAATCTAACGACGCCGACATACACTATTCACCCATCAATATCATTTGTGTTTCAGCGCAGCGTCGACAGCATCCTCGACTCGTCGTCCTCCCCTCTGCGCACCTCCTCGCGGTCGGTGACCGCCGACGCCGCCCGCCGCTGGGTGACGGCCAGCAGTAGCACGGAGGACCCCTCGCCGCCCATGCGGCAGGGCTCGATGGGCAGCGCGAGGCCGAGTCTGGGCGCGGCGGACGCCGACGAGGCTGCGACGACGACGGCCGCCAGGTGGGTGCGCAACCTAGATCAGCAAACGCGCTAATTCGTGACGTAATCCTATCGAGAAGTCCATTCCGGAGTCATGGGAATCTATATTCTACAACTGTCTTCAAGTATATTTGCCATAGACCTATTATCCCAGGGAGACGCAACATTTCATTCATAAAACTCTGTTTGTTTTGCTCCGATGTTTATATGAGGATGCCCATAAGAGAATATCGATCGAACCTCTTTATCAGACAAGTATTCTGCCACCTTATTGGCAACACTGCAATATTGTTGTTCGCAATGAATTCCAGTGGCGTGCTGCTGCTTGACATTGGTGATTTTTTCTTCATATTTTCTTTTTACATTGATTACTGTATGAGATACTACAAAAAATGGCATTGGAAATATTCCTCAGATGGCAACAAAAAATCATAGATGAAAATAATATATAGATATATTTGAAAATGTTATGAAACGTACCACCACATCGACTTGAGGTGCTGTGAAATGGGTTATACCCATGTTTCAGTTGCTGGTTGATGGTTCCGGCCAACCCAAACTAATTCAATTTCCTTTCCCTACCACGCCAACCTCTTATTCGTATCCAATTGAGAAAAAGTTATTTCATTCGGATTTATGGGCGGGGGATGCTAGAGGAGGTTCACCATTGACTAATGAAAGCCTCAAGTTAGACCTATGTAACATCCGTGGTCTTATAAGTATGAGCATCAACGATGTCCATCGACACCTCCAAACTGAAAAGCCAGACATATTGTCCCTGACTGAGACACAGGTCAATTCATCTACCAATACGACCTATATGCTCAGTCAGTCCTGGGTACGAACTTCACATACGCTTCAGGTTCAGAATAGGCCTCTACCTCTATTCCGAAACGAATCTCTCATGTAATCGAGGAAAAACTTTGGAACCAAATAAATTTGATGTTATGTGGTTCGAACTCGACAGACTCTACTCTACTTATCACCAAATGATCCACCTTAAGTAGAGCTTTTCGAGTTCTTGTCCCTGAAGCTTGACCCAATTCAGCAGAGCCATCCAGCAGCAGAAATAATCATCATGGGTAATTTCATAAAGGATGAAGGTGGGCGACAACCCGAAACTTTCACCATCACTCACGGCTTACAGCAGCTTATCCATCAATAATTCAGCCAATTCACGTGACTTGTTCCTTACTGATAATTCAGCACATAATGATCACAAACTCATCTCCACAACCTGCCCATTTTTCATTACATCATTTGTACCATCACCTTCACGTCTTGTATGGCACTATAACTCAGGAGACTGAGATGGTCTCCGCATTTTTGTCTCCGAGTTTTCTTGGCATAGGATATGCTTTGATTCTGAGAATCCTTTACAATGTGCTGCGAGTTTTCTTGACATAGAATATGCTTTGATTCTGAGGATCCTTCACAGTGTGCTGCAAAATATCCGAGATCAGTACGCTTGTCAACAACGCCAAAATAATGTCAAAACTCATAGGTTGTCCTAATGGCTCCCGTTCGTTCTGGTCCTGCTATAGAGTAGGAAGGAATTTCACTAATAGTTCATTCCCTCCACTCTCCAAAGCAAATCACCAACAACTTCTCAAGATAAAGCAAACCACCAGACATTGACCCGTTGAAATTCGAATGCCCGTAATCTTCTTTTTTCAACGCATTCTCAAACGCATGCTGCTCGATTCTGGTACTTACGAGCTGATGAGGTCCTCATGATCTATCATTACATTCATTCCCCATAAAGGGTACATTCATATATAATATCTCACTACTGCACCAAATTTCTTCAAATTATTGTTAATTCTATTCTCCTTATGTGTCTTGTTTAAATGAAACTGAAGATGGGTAAACCCATATATGTACCTGAAACTAGGGTCCCTTGATGGAAATTGACGTTAAAGTCATCATGACTTTAACGTCAAATTCCATCAAGGGACCCTACCTGAAACTAGAGTCACTGGATGGTATTAGTTTGATAAGAGTTCGGACACAGAAATGACAACTGTTAGGGTTCTTGAATGTTTAGATTTATTGAGTAACACACCTTGCATTGTGACAATAGCACCATAGTCGTCCCGCGCTTTTTATTAAAAATTGTTTGAATTCGACAATACATTGTATAAACGTCAGAATTGAAATAAAATTTAATAATAATACTTTCGAGAAAAAAGCAGCTATGGAAATCACTTGCTGTGTAATGAATTGTGCCAAATATGATAAAAATGGATATCATTTATTCAATTTCCCAAAACAAATATCAACCATTCGCTTATGGAAGGAAGATATGAAACGGCCTTAGTGGAAAATCAATTTCAAGACGAGCGAAATTTGTGAGGTAATCATTAAAATCCACTTCTTATAACAGCATCTGATCAGAATGAAACAATGAAAGAAATATTTTAGGCCCAGTTTCGAACAGAAGATTTCAAAATGTGTTTGAAAGAATCTGCTGTTCCATCAATTTACAATAAAGCAGACGATTTCAAGAACTAAATTCCATCACACAAAATACAGAACAAAATAATCATGGAAAGAGGAAATGACCGTAAAATTACAAAATGAAATTGGAAATTTGAAAACAAAACTAAGGAAAGCAAGGAAACTACAACGTGATATTATTGAATGGCGTTTTTGGTGCCAATCAAATTCAAAATTCAACAGTGCAAAGTGAATAGTTATTTATGTATCAAGGGAATTATTATAGGGGCCTTAATTACGATGGAGGTTATCGTTCTGGAGATATTTTCTATATCGATCCATGTAACTTAGCTCCTAGAGCGCTAAGTGAAGTTGCTGAGAACTTTACAGAAAAAAGTATTTCGTAGGTCTCGTCAAAATAAACTACTTCTTTCCTATGAAATGTTTTTCGAAAAATGATTTGTTTGTGTTTCAACACCCTGTTTCTCCGGAATGGAGCATTTCCGGACACAAGCTTATATAAAATTCATTTCTCGAAATTGTCTCAGAAATACTTCACTTGAACGTACTTATGTTACTTCCTGTATATTGAGAATACCTACCTTTAATTTAATATTAATAACTTCATGTTTCATACTTATCACTGGAGTACAGTTTGACATACAATAAGGAATTATAGTTATAAGTTTATCCATATGTGTATATTTTCTAATATTGAAACGTTGGTACATGCATTCTTTTCATTTATATAACAGTTGTTCTGCTAGAAGTATATCATTGAAGTGGGTGTTTGTACCCTATTTCCATTGTCCATCTACGGCTATGATTGATTTGACAGAAAATATAACCTCTAAAATCGTATCTGACAATCAGGCGCTACTAGGGAAATTGAAAAGACAAAGAGCAGAATATATGTCTTGTTCTTTTATTCACTTAAACCATTGTATTATAGAAAATAGGAAAGGACAAAAGTTCAGCTGTGTCCGAACTCTTATCAAACTAATACCATCCAGTGACTCTACCTGAAACTAGTTCCTCAATAATTGTATCAAAACCTTTTGGAGATGGTTAAGAGTTTTTCTTTCTGCTGAAAAATTCTACTCCACTTCGATCATAGACTATTTCCCTATGTTATATACTAACCTGCTTACTAGTCCTGAAGGTGATTGATATTTTCTTGCACGCGAGTGTCCTTGCACCGAACAACGTGTAACGAAGTACGCGATTTTCAAGTTCGAAAAAGACACTTTCTCCTCAGACAGGACTCGATGGCCGGCGCTTGGCCCAGTCCTGCCGCGAACATCGTCGCTGACGAGGCTACGGCGAAGACGGCCACCAGGTAGAAATTCGCGCGCGATACCGGTGAGAGGGTCGAACGATTATTCGTTTTCGGGGTTTAGAAGTGCATGGATAGTAATTTTTTGTCCACATACAGTCGATCATATCTGGATAACGGTATGACCACGACTAGGTGAGTAAGTTTCCTCGAAAATAAATTTTGATAACTGAATCCAGTGAAATTATCAACCACTATGATAATACCATCGACTTTGACAAGTTCAAATTACACTCAGTTTCAAAAAAAGTGACGCACTTGATATTTGACCTATCTTCTCTGTTGTATGTTTCCATATTTGACCATTTGTCGTTGTGTCATTAATTAAGTATCTTGTTCTATTGACTAAAATTACATAAAATGCCTCAAATAAATCCTGAACAAGTAGCAAGATTAGTTGCGTTAGTAAACGATGGGCGTAGTAAACCTTACGCCGCTCGTGCAGTGGTAGTTCATGAAGCAACTGCTCGTAGAGCAATCCGCAATTACGAACAAACAGGAAGAACCGTTCGGAGGGTCGGTTCTGGTCGCCCCCGAAAAACTTCTCCAAGAGATGATCGCTTCTTGAGATTGCGGATTTTACGGAATCGATCAAATAGTGCGGTAAATGTTCAGCAAGATCTTCGCCAAATTCGTGATGCTGCAGTAAGTAAGCAGACGGTATGTAGACGTCTAAAAGAAGTTAATTCAAAAGCTAGGAGACCTGCAAAAGGTCCTAAATTATTGCCCGAACATCGTGATGCTAGAAGAAATTTTGTTGAAAATTATGGACAGTGGAATATTGCTGAATGGTCGAATGTCATGTTTTACGGATGAGTCGAGGTTTTGCCTCAACATGGTGGATGGAGGAGAAAGAGTGTGGAGAAGAATTGGTGAACGGTTCAATCAAAATTCTCTAAGGTGAGGTGTATTTTTTAAAAAATGCATCATTCATCAAATAAACCAACGAATCTAAAAACGTCTTCATGGAAGCTGTGGAGTATGGGAATTGAACGATTATAATCACTAAAATCGATCGTGTTTCGGCCTTGGTCACACAAATAATTGTTCAAAGTTGTCACTGGTTGTTTAATAGCCGTGATATTCTACTCTAGTGAAACAAGATTATCGTATAAATTTTGCATTTATGTATATTGCCTATCAAAAACATTGGTTATTTTGATGTTCCATATTTACTCTTTCAGTATTTGCTCTCAAACATTATGATCGGAAATTTTGATGCATCGTGTGATTATTTCCGGAAATTTATCACAAATTATTAGGTGGAAAAATGATGCTGCTAAGGATGTTTATTTTGTTAAATGAATGGATGAATCATCAAACTCGGCACCAACATAAATATGATGATCCTTTTCGAACATGATATAGCAGGAGAAGCTGAAAACTGAACGAGTAAAAGAAGCTTCCATGCATGAAGTTTCGGAAAACATTTTGGCCCCTATTTCTGAGTGCAGGAGAAACTTGCTTCAGGAATTTTTTTTCCTAAAATTCGAAATGCATATGAACAAATATAATTGGCTTCTTTATTCTTTCAACATATTGACTAACATAGTATAAGTGGCAGTTGCGAACTTTGGATATCTGGAATATCATCTGGCATCACTCTGATATATATGTATATGGAGTATTTATCTTTCACACATTCTTTATTGTTGTGAAAAATCAATCAATAAGTATAAGTGGTTAATAGTAGTGGAGTAGAGATACAACACAGCAGACCAATTTACTATGATGTGAAAAATAAACTAGAAATTTGTGATAATTTTGCCGATATTCATTCACCGGCAATGGGGTGAAACTATTCTGTGATTTCCTAGGCTAGTGTGGAAAACTGTGACTCTCAAAAGCAGCATGTGTGCAGGAAAATGGATAGACTAACTAATATCGGTTTCGAAGCATGTTATAAAAGGTTGAATGTTGTACGCTCAACACGAATATCTTGAAACTAATTCAGAACATAGAGTTGGGAGGTCGACATTCTCAAGAACTCATTATCAAGAGTGCTATTAGTTTTTCTTCAGGGTGTCAAATCTTTCGTTCTCATTGTTGTTAATATACCGGGTGCAATTTTAATCAACACACAAATGAAGAGAAAAAATTATTGATGCAATCGATTAACTGTCAAACACATTAAACATTTTGTGTAGGTACACCGACTACTAAGTGAAATAATTATTATGAACAAATAGACTGATAGCCCTGTGGATCATCGTATAAGAGGAACAATTTTAGTTTTATTATTCCAAATGGGAAGATCATGTGATAGGTACATGGCGAAAATAAAAGACAGATATTTTCTGTACGAGTAGCTGAATTCGAAAAAATATGTTCCTATCTTAGATTCCTCAATATCATGAGTTATTTTCGAAGGTTTTCATCTCGACTCAAACAAGCTATTGACAACCTGTAGACATTGATCAGAATATCAAAAAAATTTTTGAATAATATCGGTTTACTAATGATCTTTAAATCTCAAAGCCTACCAAGTGTCGATATATCATCGAAATCATGTCACAGCCAACTTATTCTTTTTGAATAAAAAGCAATTCAACAGCGAATTAAGAAATAAATGCCACTTTGTGATACATGGTTGGATAGAGAATTTCAAGGCGAATAAGATAGACTGAAGAAATGTACAGGGTGACTTTAAAAAAAAAGTTGGGGTCACTTCCGGTCAAACAGGTGGTTGAAAAAAATTGTCGAAAAGTTCGTAAAGTGCGCTACCATTTTTATTAAATACCCCTTGTGAATTTCGAGATTTTATCTCTTCAAATAAAAAAACTACAGGCTGCTACATGTCTCCTGTGTCACCCGGTATTGCTAATTTTCAAAATGAATAAGTTGAATCATTCTGGATCGAGATAGTCAACGAAACTTGAACTAAATAATAACTTCAACTGATCGTATCCAACTTAGATTTCTCGACATATTCAAATTTGTCATTGAATTAACTAACCTCAACTATATCCTAATTCAACAGGCTCTATTACTCCCGCAGTTCCCAAAAGTTGGGACAAACTGTATACATGTTTGCTTCATTGCCATAATATAATACACTGGGGCATAACTTATAGGTTGTTGAAAACAGCGTGATCAATTAGCTAACCTCAACTATATCCTAATAGGTCGCGTGCACGATGACCGACCCTGGAGGCAAAATATTGAAACACAACCTCATTCTTCTGTGAATTATTAAAACACAACCTATTATTTTTACTTGGTTACAGAGGAATCAAAGGATTGAACTAGTTTTTCACAATATTTTGGCATACGAATCGTGTTTTTTGCGCTATTCATTAATTCGAGCATGCCTTCGCATTGTGCTGTTGTACAATGCACAAAAAATGCAGCAAGAGACTAAAGAATATGATTTTTCAGGTAAATAGTGATCTCACATAGTTATCATTATGAAATGTTGTCATTCCTTGTTAAAATTCCTTCTGCCTTCTGTCACTTCTGCAATACAAGCTAATACTGCTAATAGATTGAAAATGTCTACAACACACACGATCGTCAGCATGTCAGACCAGTCCTCCCGATTGATTGCATGAATCCAATTTTCTGGCATTATTTTAGAAATTTCAGATGTATTTCTATTAGCTTCTATCGCAGAAAGAATTCCGATGAGAAATCAGAGAGATTACCAAATTTCAAAAATGAAAACTATATGTGAGTGACTATAGTAGGTACTTACTTAAAAATCATATTGTATACCAACCGGATTACTTCGTCTTCCGCTGCAGTTTTTGTGCATTTCACAACAGCATAATGTGATGACATGAGCGAATTGATGAATAGCGGAAAAATACGATTCGTATGCCAAAATAATTGTGAAAAACTATTTCAATCACTTGTAAACAAATAAGTAAAGTGACGTTTGTGTTTCAATATTTTGCCTCCAGTGTCGGTCATCTGACAGTTCTTGCACGCAACCCATTCAACAGGCTCTATTACTCCCACAGTTCCCAAAAGTTGGGACAAACTGTATACATGTTTGCTTCATTGCCATAATATTCTACACTGGGGCATAACTTATCGGTTGTTGAAAACAGCGTGATCAATTTTTCATGTGGAATCGAATTCATGAAAAATGGAACACAAGGTTCACGCAGTCGAAGCACAACGAAGGAAGGTCGATAATCCATTTAGAGAAACTTGCTCACCAGCGCCTTTGCCTCGCAATCCTTGTATCGCTTCAACCAACGGCTAATTGGTTCATTTATTTTTGTCTTTAGAACACTGATATATCTCATTTAAAGTTTGATTGATTGAATAATTAGTGATTTAAACATCATAAGAGTGACACATTGTTTGGAGTTATTTCAATGTAGATCTGTCTATATCTATGAAATGCATTTATTCTTGAGTCTGATGACATTATTTTTACCTACCTAAACTATGGAATAGAATGAATTGGGAAGAAATTGACAATTCTTGGAGATTTATTTTTCTCTTCATCTTTCTGTATCAAAGGAATCATTTCTGTGATCCTGAATAATCAAAGGAGTGGCTTCATTGTTCTGTATTTGGCGTGATAGTATGATATATATCATGTCTTTCTGATGTCAGCAATACAAGAGATTTGTTAACTTCATAAATTCCGTCACCTTCTTACGAAACCTCATTGGTCAAGTTGATCTGATGGTTTGCCTGGCCTTACAAGTTAGGTATTTCTCATCTAAAAGCCTAGACTTTGCACTCACTCTCTGAGCTATATACCTATCACAGCTTACCCACTACCCACTACTATAGTGTGAGCATACATTACTTCACTACCTACTTCGAGATAACATAATACATAACATTATATTGTTGTATTCTTCACTGATCGATTTGATGAAATGATTATTTTCATGGACGTATAAACAAAGAATGGCTTCCTATTGATATCTTCATAGATAGAGAACTCTTCTATACGCCAATAGAGATTTGAAGATCACATGCGAGCACTTTAATAGCCATCTAGTCGAAAGAATTCTGGTGTGAGATTTCAAACGTTATCATCCGTCATTTTGTTTTGGATGAATATTTTCGTCTGAGATTCTGAGGTTGTACAGAGAATCGAAAGATCTTTCAATCGAGGTATCTTTCGACTCCCCACTTTATTTAAAAAAATCTTCCAAAAAATATGTATCCATACATTTACATGATACATTTTTTTTTTCGTAACAATATGTAGCACTGAAACTACCATTGAAGCGAGAAAAAATTGAAAAAAAAATCCCATCCGTTCAATAGTTAACCAGGGGGGGGGGTGACTTTATGGACACTGTGTATAATGTATCATAGTTTCAAAAATAAAAATGAAATGATACTCAGTCATATTGTCTATTAATAATCCTTATCCTTATTAAAAACTGTTAGCCATGAATGAGGATATAGTTGACAGTATTTTGCATCTGCATCGTTATCAAATAGATTCCCAAACTGATCGGATTGAGTGATCATCAATTAATCAGACAAAGAGTTGTTAATCGGGGGGTCAAAAAAGTGGTTGATGAAGAAGTGAAAATAATAGATAACATAGAGTGTATATAAATTTATTTTGACCTCATTAGACGTGGTAGTTCTGTGTCCCAGCAATTTTGGGACACTCTTTATAGTTGGTTTGTTGGTGTACCTTGTGGGAAAAGATACAGAACTTCTTTATATAGTACCGACATTTCATTATTTCAATAATCTATTTTGCGTATCAGTTCACCACACCACAGTTATATAAAATCCATTATTCAATATGTGGAAACCAGAAATCGGGAAAAACGTTTCTATAGGTAGGTAGGCATCAAAGAGAGTATTTTCGCCAACTCAATTTATAATTTTACAATAGATGAAAGGTTTTATCGGAACACAAAACTGTTTTTGTTATGTTCACCCATAGCGACCCGTATTGATAAACGGTCATATATTGATTGGTATTCAGTTTTTGGTCGCTCTTTGCATTTTGGATTCCGAAATTCACTATCACGATAATTCATTTTCGCACGACGCTGTCGTTTGAGGAAATAGCACAGTCTATCGTTACCGTTTCCCTTCCCCTCAACCCGCTTGCCTACACCTTTAAGACTTCAAAACATTATATGCTGAAAGTATAGAGTTACTGTGTCCTTCTTTTTTATACGTCCATGATTATTTTCATCTGTGGAAAAATATGTATGAATGCGCATTGAGAATGGGTCCCTCTGACTGAAATAATGGTAAAACGGGGATAATATTACACAAATACGTTTCAACAAGGTAATAATGTAGGCGCATACTGCAATAATGCTGTTTTATACGCAACGAGAGTGTTTAGGTGTTACGCACGTAAAATGTAAAAACGTAACACCCTTGGCTGGACTGATTTTTTTTCTCAGCGCTAACATTAGAAAACCTATTGAAACTACGAAAGAAGGATTTTTGCAGAATTGTGACTGATAAAGTGATTACAGTCTAGAAAAAATTATACTCGTTTTCTTACTTTACGAGAGCACAGAATTTTACGGACACACTCTATACAAACCCTATGTGTGATATTGTTTTGAATCCAGCTTTCCATGGGAATTGAAAGAAATAATCCATTTGAAAATATTTTACGTCATAGCTCAAACGTAATTCACCCTGTTTCTTCAAGTTTCCCTAATAAATGTGGGGAATTGAGATTTCAAAATCAACCTGTTTCAGGTGATTCCTCATAAATGGATAGTTTGGCTTAAAATTAATTTATTCAGCACTTGCCAAAAGCACTGTATACAAGTAAACTGCAAATAGGAAAAATTCTATCACGTGATTCCTGTTATTAAATAATGTAGAAAGTTGATGCTCGTTATAGAGAACACTTTCGATTTTTGAAATGGATAACATCTTCGACCATCACATTATAAACATACTTAGAATGCCTGAAAAACATTCGCACATATGCACGAGCCAGTAGCAGCCACATTCCATTTCTATGTTTGGAACATTATTGAATCTTCACTTACACTGATTAAATCGAATGAAAGATCATAACATTCTTGATAGATCTCATTAAAGGATATTATTCGAGATTTTATAGTTTCTATTATATTACATACAGCTAGCAATATTACGGTTTCAGAGAGGAATAGTACGAGATAACTTGACGGGAATTAATGTACAATTAGGAAATATGCCATAATGTGTGAGTTGGCCATTTGAGAAACTAGACATCTTGTCACTTTTCTAAATCCCAAAAAATCATGATTTTTTGACCACCATCATGCTCTGAAGATTCTCCTGTACGATCTGGATCTCGGACTCGACCTGTTCATCTCCTAAATATTTCTGGATGTTTCGGATTATGGAAAGATTGAAATTCATTTCAAGATCTATTCTGCTCATACGTTTCCGACATCAATTATTATCTCGAAACCTGCTCCAGATAGGTAGAGAATGCTATTTTAGATGGATAGAGAATGCTCGATTATTGATACATACCATCTATCTCATTTATGGCATTACGATAATAACAGTCTCAATAATTATTATGAAATACAATGATAAAAAAATCAAGTTCTCACCATATAATAAGTCTTGTTATTTACAAAATGTCGCTCACTGTGGAAGCTAGTTACACCACTGTTCATGAAACAATAAATCATAAATATTCATTAGGTAATAAAAAAATCAGATTTATTCATAACAACAAGAAGCAACAACCTCTCATTAGGTGTCTCACAATGTCGCCATATCGTTACGACCAATGTAGATTATATGCTTTGGAGTGCGTAGGAATTTCAAGGTACCCACTTCGCCAATATATGGTTGTGTCGACCTACGCACGGTACCTATCTCACAAAAAACAGAGTTCATTGTCCATGTTAACCTGGCAGTAAAATATTTCTCTAGATACTTATTGAAAAATGATGTAACGAATTATTTACCTAGTAATGTGTCATCTGAACTCGCTTGACCCGTACTTCAAGAAGTTTATGAAGCTAACATATCTGAAACCTAGAAGTATTGAAAGATTGTTCATTCATGATAAACTGTTTCTACGGGAAATACAAGCTTATGTTCAATCACAGCGGTAGCATTGAGGCAACTAATAACAATCACTGTACCATTCCTTTGACTATTCAATGATTTCCTTATAATTCATGAATATTAACATTCTAGGGGTTCCAACGTGTCTGTGCTGCACCTTCGCAGCACATCAGAACCATGGGAAACCACTCCCTCGCCAGCCTACCAACAGACATCGACACCCTCTGCCAGAAGCTATCTCATCAACCGAAGCTCCAACATCCCACCTCTAACCAAACACCAATCTTTAGGCAGTACCAACACCAGAGATTACAAATGGCAAAACTCTCCCAGCTTCCATTCAGGTGGTGAAGTGAACTCTCCAGATATGTTCGTCGGAGCAGGTAACTGCAACAGGGAGTTATCTCCTGTGAGGTGGTGTGACAGGGAAGTGGATGGGGTATATTTGAATAAATCAGGATGGGTGCAAGTGCAGCAGAGGTCCTTAGACGAGAGCAAGAGGTTCAGTTATACCGGTAAACAGTCCTCTCTGCAAGCGAAAAGATCGCAAGTGAAGCTCTCAGACTACCATTTCAACAGCGAACCATCATCCGCGTACGTGAGTGACAGACCGGCTTACCTTTCCTTGCAATCTAGAGACTACGACCGCAAGGCTGCTTCACCTTCGCCACCACATGAATCTTTTTCTTCGCCTTCGGTGACTCCTATAATTTCTCCACCACCAGCGTTCCAAGATAAAAACAGGAGCTTCAGCAAGACGCGAACGTTCTTCGGTAAAACCCCTTTTCTACCACGGTCGGATGCGATAGTGGATAGTGATGCCAGTCCACCGCCTTCACCGCAATGGAAGTCGAGCGTACAGAGCTCGCAAATTCGTAAACCTAAAGTTACCACACCGTCTCCCATAACCGAGAAACCTTTGAGAAACGTGGCGAGGATGCCGCAAACTAAATCCTTGGAGGACACCACAGCGAATAGGAGATCGCAGTTTTCGCAGCACTATAAAGGATCGTCTTCATCTTCTTCTTCGTCGATGGGATTCAGGAGCTTGGATAGCAATTTCAACAGGCCGGGGATTATTATGCCGAGGTTGTCTGAGAATACCGATTCGTCAGTGGATCAATATCAGGATGCCGACGAAGAGGACAATAATAGTTCTTCCATCAATATGAGTATGATGCCGATATTGTCTCTTGGTGTTAAAAACAATGGTGAGTTTGCATCACTTCGTTATATAGCTATACTACATTATGCTGACTTTTCCACTCATTAAAATTATCACATAACCACTCATTTCAATTATGATTGGTGAATCAGCGTTGATGTTTTTAATGATTCAACCATAGATGGCAAAGTGAAGTTCAACATTTTACAAGATTTTGTGGGTTTTCTCTCCTCGTTTCTACAAATAAAAGTATGAGTATACTCACGTGTTGTAAGGACAAATCAGATGAATTACCCCAAGATGTCACTGCGTTCAAACATTTCACTGTTAGAGCGCCTGGAAGAAGAAATCAATTGTTTGTCAGTGACACCATATTTCAAAAAATGTTTGAAGAAAAGATGAACTGAAAAATGTCAACACAAAATTCCAAATATTTTCAATGTTTTTCAATTTCTTCAATCACTATTATGTTTGAAGAGAATCATGCGTGACTAGGAAGGATAGAAGAGGTGGGGTAGGCATTTGAATTTTTTTAACTTTTGGAGATTTTAAGTTCTTGGGAATAATTCCTTTGACGAAGAATTCCAAAGATTTGCCGTCAGATAGATAGACGAGTTTGAATAAAAAGTTGTTCGAGATATCTCGAGGTCGACGGCGGAGAGATGTGTTGACTGGGCTTGTCGAGTACGTCTGACTGGTAATGGTAGTGGTGGAATGATAGCGCAGAGATTTTTGCGGAACATATTTTTCGTGGGAGGATCTATAGAAAAGTATCGCCAACTTCCGTACGGTGTGTCAAATAATTGATGAGTGTGGCATCACCGCGACTATGCAAATGGCTTATTTCTGGGGAAAATTTGAGAGGATCATTTTATTTTGGGGTGCTGAACCCTATGGAAAGATAATTCTGAAACAAGCTGTATTTGTGCTTTGTATATCATAAGAAGACGTGGAGGTATAAAATAGCTTTTCGCACGGAAGAAAAATAACTATAAATTTGATGTTTTGATATATCTATTAATATTTCTCTTCATCAACATTTTCCGACACCAACAAAGTTTTACTGACAATCTATTGAATTCTTTTAGGCTCTCTGAAAGTGACATTTTCAAACGCAGTGACATTTTGATGCAAAAAATCTGATTCATCCTTCCATACACGTATTTTTCTATACACGTATATTGAAATTATATCAACTCAATTCACTTATTTGTAGGAACGTGGAGAGAAAATCCTTGAAAATCTGATGAAATGAATGTTCCACCTTCCTGATTAACCTATAGACAGTAATTAACAAAGTTCGACAGTTTGAAAATGAATAATTGTATGACTGTAGGCATCATAATAAGTTTCATTGGTTACGATGGGTTGTCCATATCGATAATAAATGATCCCTATTTTTTGTGATATAGTTCAGCAAAATAGCGCTCTGATCTGAATATCTTCTTATAATTCTGTCTCTAATAATTGTTGACTCAATTGTATAGCCGTACAGCGTGATCTTGTGAATAAGAAAACGACTGAATTATCACTAATTTCCCTAATTTCGTAATATTACTATACTGAAGAATAGGTACGTTGGTGATATTGTGATTAGAAGTGGAGCCGGCGAGAACTAAGAAATCACGAAGCAGACTTATAGGCTAGAGAAAAATTGCATAAATTATTGAATTAATTTTCTCTTTGATATGTTCAGATACCATGATATCGAAAGAAAAAGTTTCATGAATAATAATTTCTGCATCGAAATACGAATACTATTGAACCATGATATATCTAAAATTATCATGTTATCATGTATAATAATATCCGAAAGTTTTGTCTGGAATGCAAAATGAGGCGTTCTTGATGGTGGACAACATACTCATGAAAGTATATAATTCAACAATATAAGATAAAACATCTATCTTAGTAATGGTGATAATAATGATAATAAATGATCTTTATTGCACCAATAGAGTTACAAAGGGCAATTATAACCCTAGATATGCCCTAGATCCTTCAGTCCATATATGAATTCACATAATAATGTGTTATTTTCTGATATCGATTCGCTCACATAATTACGAATTTCCGTAGTGGAAGTTGACCCAAAACGAGACATTACAATTGTTGAGTGACTGATAGGTATGTCAAAGTTCGACAACCATAGCACTCTTATGCTGGCGAACAGAATAACCGCTTATATTGTTTGTTTACCTTAATAGCCACTGATATCGCATATCATGTGACTTCAATCATGACATTTCATAGGTCAAGCCGAGTGTGAATGAAATAATCCATATTATCCATAGCGGACAACATCGAATTAACCCTGACATTGATAGTCAACCATTTTGACCACTGAATTCTCTCCTAGCGCAACCCCGAGAGAAAGACAAAATCTCCCCGTCCGGCCGTTCCTCGAGCCGCTCCATCCACCACCGGTCGCAACTTCGGCGATCTCCGGCCGGTTCCGATAGCAACAAGAACCACAGCTCCTCGTCGTCGAGCAGCAACGAGTTCCTGTCGAAGAGCCCGCCGAGGCCGAGCCCAGCGCAACAGCAGGTGAGGAGGAGCGCCCCCTCGCGGGGGTACCAGCCGTCGCGGTCGCAGGAGATGGAGGAGGCTGCCGTGCAGAGGGTCAGGAGGTGAGTGTAGTGTAGGCAAGAGTGACATTAAGAATAGAGTGACGACAATAGTGGTACACTTTTGATTGGTCAGACCTTTAAATGCCCAGATAGCACAAAGACATCTTTAAGACATCATAAAGACATCGTTCTCAGACGTTCACAACGTCTTTAAGACGTCTATGGACGTCCTCTATAGGCCGGATGTTAAAAATCACGACGTCTTTAAGATATCTTTATAATGTCTCTTCTGAGTCTTATAAAGGCATAGAAAAGACATTAGAAAGACCTCATTTCTGAATGGATTTCAAGGTTCCTCTGGGGACTAATTAAAGTGGAATTTGAAGTATTTGGATGTTAAAAGTATTATTCAATAACTGCTTTCATTCCTATGTTTTTCAAGTCAAAGTGCCAGTTATGAAGCAAACATGTATAGGTACATACAACACAAAAAAATAGTTGATCTTTGTGAAATTCATTTGAAAAGTACAACTACCAAGGACAGGTTTGACATTTCCAGAAAAGAAGTTGCTCGTCCACCCTGTTTGTGATAGGAAAATTGAGAATATTCATTATGTTTCATATAACTGGTCTCTTCATTTTTTTCTTAAAACAGGGCATCTCATCTACAGGAATACTGATTGTATCAGTCCCTCTGTTGATTGCTTTTTGTGTCAACCAAGCATATTCATATCTCTGGAAGATCCCATATTCATCCTGAAAACAATGATATAGAGTTGAGTTTCAGGAGTTTTTACCAATATCATTATTAGGGAGAGTTCTTCTTACCTGACACATACAGTGTACTGTAAATATAATAAGGCATAATACTTATTATACTTCAATGCAATCATTTGCATCCATTTGACCAGCCAAAACCAGGTGGCCCGCATTTATGAGCTCAGCTTCATTTTGGAGACACTGAATCACTGAAAAAGTGTAGACAGATTGAAATTCACAGGCTGAATGGCCAAATCATAAGAATTCTTGTTCAATAATGATAAAAACTTACAGCTTATCATTATGTTAGTATAGGTTTTATGTTCAACATTCCAACTAGAGGTAGGTAGGTGTTCTGATGTTAAACATCAGAGATATTATTGACCTCAATCAAAACACAATGAACCACTGGAAAACACGGATTTAAAAATACACAAATATCAAAGCTGAGAATGATTGAGAACTCAAAACGAAATTAACATAAACACACCTCTCAATAAACACCATCACCAAAACCAAACAATGTAAAATGTAAACAATCAAATAGTACTGGCATTCGCCGTTCTGGCTCTGGCGCTACGATCTCTCTTTCGTTTGACATGGCGGTATTTTCAAATCATTTCACCCGATTTATAAAATAACTTACTCTGAACAATCTATATAACCTCTATGTATCACGGTGAAGTTATAAAAATTATGAAATTGAAAATATTCTATTAGCCTGAATCAATATGATCATACCTATATTTTTTATCAAAAGTTTAACGCATATTATGAGAATAGAACCATAACTAAGTGTGGAATTCAGAAATTCTGAGAGTGGAGAACGTTCAGATATGACACACTAAAAGTCATTATGATTAATACTCATTATAATATACCAAATATCATTATTGCTCATTTGTATTATCACGATGTCTTTAAGACGTATTCAGGACGTGAGAATCAGATATCTTTAAAACGTCTGAATGATGACATCTTGTAGACGTCTTATTCAGGGAGTAAGACGTACAGACTAAGATAAGATATAATTCAGACATCTTAAAGACGTCTTGTGCTATCTGGGTGGAAGTGCATCTAGCTTTCTTGTTTCCTCCATTCAGTTCTACGCATTCTATCCCACTCCCAGTAAACACACTCACGTTGAAATAACGTAGTAAAATTACCACAACGGTCGGTTGAAATAACGATTAATGGAATCTTTTGATCACGTTGAATCAACGCGAAAATGTCGCTGACATCCACGTCATTTTCCACCAGTACATAAATGTATTTTCAACTACTGATTTCAACGTGAATACCCGTTTGAAATCGGTGAAAATTGCCTGGTTCTCAACGAAGGTTTTCACGGGAAATAAACGTGACATTTCAAACGTTTCAACAAGTTGATGAAAACATTTATTTCAACGTTCACTTCGGATCCATTTTTTTGTTTTTTCGAACGTTTTTTCAACGTTTTAGTCAGATTATTTCTCGTTATTTTTGTGTCTACAATTATATTATCAACATTCTCATAATAACTATAATTATTATTATACCTTCCTAACCTGCTATGTTGTCCATGTAATTTCCTTTCCTCAGCTGTTCCACTTTCTTCTTAGTGAGGTGCCCATCTCTACGTATCCTAAGTTTCAAAACGGAATTTTGTCCAACATAAAATTGCACAGTGGTGCCCAGATTTATCCGATACTGCATCTCTTACAGTTCACGAGATCCCAATGATGAGGCACTAATTCCAGTCACCCTGTAGATATTTTTTTTATTATCGAGAAAAACGCTCTATTATTCAGTATCTCAAACGAAGGACCATTCGTCTCAAAGTCGATGAATAACCAGTGATTGAATCAGTATTTCCTGATTCAAATGAGATACTGAAATTAACGCCCGATATTAGTTTGAAGCCTGCGAATATGTATGAATAATCTTTTTCACATAATAATAGACGTTTTTGAATGAGTTAATTTCGAAGTTTCATCAAAATTATCAGTACACGATCAAATGACGTATCAAGTAACTCAAAAGTAATAAATATGTGAATTTGAAACGTTGAAGTAAACAAGAATTTGTTGTTTGAATCTATCAGTTTTCTGACGTTATGAACAGGTTATTTCATAAAATGACGTTCAGTTGCTTGAAAATATCAACGTTTTATTTCAACGTTTAATAGTGTTGTAGATGAACAGGAAGTAATGAATAATTGTTGGGAATGAAACGTCAAAATAACGTGTTTATATCCCGGTCATCTTCAACCAAATTTCAACGTTGGAGTTTTCAACCACTAACGTTAGTTCCACGATTCCATCCATGATTCCAACCGTTACTCAACGTTTTATCAACAAGTTTGTGTTTACTCTGGGCTGTGTCAATGCTTTCTCTCTGTTTTTTCTCTTTGGACACAAAACATCCAACAGTCAGACATGAAACTATACATCCGTACCTTGGATATTAACTATTAAAATCCGTCTTTTGGGAATCGTGAGTCTCAGATTATTCAACATAAGGTGGGCACTTCGAAGGCTCAAATTCATTATTCTTATATTATTATAATTCTTTTTTATTAATCTACTCACTCTTTTAGTGTACGCATTGTGTAGGGAGGGGCGGTAGATAGAAGCCTATCATTGGCTGTAGTAGTAGTACTTGATTTAGCGGTTGTTATCTGCAAAAACCAAGTATATTTGGAATTTTACTCCTATGAGTATAAGTAGATGGGAAGTCCTAAAACGAATGGAACCTAGCACTGGAGCACTGGAGATGACAATTCGACGACGTATACGTGTAACTCATCATAACGATATTGAAACGATACATCCATTATTACAACAATTTCAGTTTCATGTATCCAAATGGATGATCATATTATGGCTACATGTCAAAAATGAAAGACGAATAGTTTCTTCACAAGTAGCCAAATGAAAAAACTGAGTTTCTATCTTAGTTTTTTCAATATAGTGAGTTATTTTCGGATGATTTTTTCAAACTCAATAAAATTATTGGCAATCTTCTGGGACCGATTAGGGTATGGAAAATATTCTGATAATATCGTCTAAGTAATGATCTTTGGATTTCTAAGCCTATCAAGCATCGAAATGTCATTGCATTCGGGCCACAGCCAACTTCATGTATTTTAATAAAATGCAATCCTACAGCCAATTAATAAACGAATATCAAATTGTGATATTTAGTTGAATAGAGAATTTCAAGGCAAATGAGATAGGTCAGAGAAATATACAGGGTGCGATTTGAAAAAAAATTGGGCTCCACTTCCGATCAAACAGTTGGTTGAAGAAAATTGTCAATGAGTTCAAGAGAAGCAGCATCATCGATAATATAACCCTAGAAAATTTCGAATTCTTATCTCTCTAAATAAAAAAACTACAGGCTGTTACATGTCTCCGGTGTCACCCGGTATACTAACCGCTCTCCAATCCTTTGCTATAGGTCCCGCAGCCTCCAGCTCCCCGAGAAGAAGCCCCCGCCCCACGGCAGAGAGCCCCCGCCCCCACCGCCCAGGGCCGCTCCGCAGCAGCTCAGGGCGTCCCCGGACGCCCTCAGGGCCGCCAAGATGGGCAGCGCGGCAGCGAAGAGGCTCGCCCAGGGCAAGCCGCCCTCCTCCGAGACGGAGGGGCTCGACGAGGACATGATGCGGGAGGCGGAGGTGGTGGCGGGGTTTCTGTACGGGAACAGGTCGCGGGCGGCGGCGCAAGCGCTGCTCATGCACAGGTGAGTACCCAGATCACAGAACTCATAGACCTCTGAGTCACTTGGGGAACACTCAGTATATTGAACAACAATACTCTGTGTCTCATACTTGGGCAATAAATATTGGGAATCAGTTGACAAGAATCATCGATATCAGGAAACAAGTTTGAATTGAAAATTTTCATCCTGTACTTCAATTAGAGGCGAATTTTCGAAAACGTCTCGAGTCAATAGTCTAATATGAATAATGGATATCGAGAAGGCCGTTTCTGAATATACTGAATCGAATGGCGCATGGTTTTAGTCACCATTTTTGATTTTATTTACTGAAATGAGATTTCGTCCTATTTTCTTATCATCCTGTATATTCCACAATAGTGCTTTTTTCGTCTCTCATTGTCCTTCACAAAACATGAGAACAGTTCTTCCCAATATTCAGCTCAAGTGGAGTTCTAGAGAAAAAATTCAAGAAATGCAAGCCTTTCGAGAAAAAATCTCATTTTTGTTTCAATGGCCAATTAAAGAGAAATCACGAAAAATGTCCCGAGATGAGATCCCAGTGTATCATAATATGACTGACTTCTGATCCGAAAAAAATGTCTCGAGTTCTGGCAGTATTGGAAATGTAGACCATAGTGTGATGGTTCCACTTTACACCCTGTGTAAGTTTTGCGGACTTTCTCAGAGTGTTCTAGCTCTCTTTGAAGCCAATGAAATATCACATCTGATATCGAAAACCACATGAAGATCTGTCAATTTTTTTTTTAAATACAGGTCTTCGAAAAAGAGTCAAATTATGAGTGGTCCATTAAGTGTGTTGAGAACTGTAGATTAGGAATTAAAATACATCTCGAACGAACCATTACACAATCAATCCTCCATTCCATTCAAAAAAAGATTCAAAATGCCCAGCCGTTATTGTGAGTGAAATACTCGTACAATGTTCCTTTTCGTATTCATCAATATGAATTCATCATAATTGACAGTGAAATAACGCAAGATATCCTTATAGATGTATACCTAGAAATTCTCATCCTGTATGTCTCATTTTCATAGTGTTGCTTGCTGCTTACACTGTATATCTGAATCATTTCGTCCATTTTTGCCACAGATATAACAATAACAGCATCAGCAAAGAAGAAAAGAATAAAGAAATCAACAAACCAATCAATAACGGTCTCACAGTCTACTATGTGGGCAATCCGAAAAAAGATCCTCAAAAGGTGTTGGTTAGAGGAGCAACCAGTCCCAGTTTACCGAGTAGCAAACAGAGCTTCGAGAGACAGGATATAAAGAACCCCTGCACCAGTGATACTTGCGATTTCTGGCCCCATTGTGCCCATAGGTAAGCTTTATCGTGAATTGAATAGTAATATTCTTTGCACCAACTTTGACTGAGATTGACCAAGATTCTCAGTGCAGCTCGATAGCTCAGTTGTATTACATGTTTTATTCATCTTAGTCTGATGTGGGTTGTCTCAAGAACTTATTGAGACTGAAGTAATATTCGTTTTACCAACTCTGACTGAGATTAACCAAGATTCTCAGTGCAGCTCAATAGCTCAGTTGTATTACAAGTTTCATTTATCTTATTCTGATGTGAGTTGTCTTAAGAACTTATTGAGACTATTTCTTCCCCCTCACCCCAACTGACCTTGCTATTCATCTGGTGTTGTAGTGAGAAAAAGGTGATACTGGATTAATTCTAGTAATTCTATGGTGCTGTGCTGAAAATTCTGAGGTTATATTTTCATTTTGGGATGCTTTCAGCTTTGAAGCTTTCAGTCCACAGGTTGAATCCTTTCAAAAAAATAATTATTTTGTTTCAAAAATTTCCTCAGCCATGTTACATTTTGGTTGAATTATGTTGGATTATGTTTTCTTTCCTTGCCCTTCCTGACAGTTGAAATAGTAGATTGTTTTATTAGGATCAAAAGTGACACTTTGTTTGACAAGCGAATTTTGCATCTGCGAGGCGGAGCGTTTAGCGAAGCCGAGCGAAAGCAAAATTTGCGAGTCGAACAAAGTCACTTTTGATCCGAATGAAACATGCTATTTTTTCTGCAACCGAAACAATTAACTCAAATAAATATGTGAAGTTACCACCAATGCCGTGCCATATGTATGCAGTGCAACAAATATCGACAAATAATCCGTGTAGTGAGAACATTCTACCTGCATCAACAGCAGGTTCATTCAATTTTCAAGGATGTTCGAATTGTTAGTTTCAATATAAGTACAATCACAGAGTGACATATTTGTGTATGGACCAGGTGCTGTAACAGCAAATACCGCGCCAGTGCCAGCTATATAGGAACAAGACGTGGAAAATGTTAGGTTAATGAGCGTATCAACAATGATAATGGCGATTATTTACTCCTCTCTATAATACAATGTTTTTCGCTTGATAATCAAATGAAGCTAAACAATATCGTTGTTTGAGAAAAAACTATTGCTTGCCGTGATTATTCAAAAACAAGATATCCATCCCGAGAATAACGAATGAAATACAGATCAAGCAAGTATTTGAATCTTGAAGGCTTCCCTGATCAAACAAAAATACTTAGCTGAGATGTTTATAATTCCAATACTAAACTATAATAAGGTGTATTTATATCTTCAGCATGGGTATGAAATTCCAAATCTGCTGAAATCGGAAACAAATCAGGTATGCGTCTCAACCCAAATAACCAACCATCACGATGTTGTTCATTCTTGATGACGTCCAGTACTTCCTTTTTAGTTCCTAGGAGCTAAAGTTCAACTTTAGCTCCTAGGAACTAAAATTCAACTTTAGCTCCTAGGAACTAAATATGTTGCCTAGCAACCTACCTATTTTTGTGTCAGTAATAGAAACGTCAATTTAGGAGCTAATTTTGGTATCAAAATGGACGACTTTTGTGTCGGTGGCAGAAAAAGGTTTTTTTTTAATTCAATCGACAACTCGGATCCGTCTCACCTCCTTCTAACTCAATTGATCTCAGTAGTGAGAATGTAACAAGGTGAAAAGAATATTGCTAATGTACGACCCCAATAGAATGAAATAATGCAATTACTCCTAAATAGCCTAGCCATAAACTTCTTTCGGTTTATGAATTTTTGAGTTTCATAAATACTAGTAACCAACAAGTTATGGCTGGATGCTTCAGGGATCCTTTTGGGAAACCGATCACAAAATTATACTAAATGCGATAGCAACAAAATTGACCGAATTCATATTGTATCATAAGGAGGCCCTACATTTACTATGTTTTCTTTGGTGAGGAAGATTGTTTCGAGTGTTAGATCCAAGGTCGAGAGGAAAGTTCTGTTACAATATCATGTTTGGTATTCTCGGTGATAAGGAAAGTACCTACCTGTACCTACACTGTTTTTCGACCTTTCGAAACTAAATTTTTTCAGTCTCTCTGAACAACTAAGTACTTGAATAACTCCTTTGATCTTTACTACCTGAGTATACCAATATACCGAACCAAACTAACAAAATAATCAACCAGAATGAACCTATTCGAATTTATTACATGTACATCTTACATCGTAGCAAATCCAATTGATTCCTGGAGTGACTGGGCCCTCGGAAAACAAACCAAACTCAAGTGTGAGAAATAAATTTATATCATTTGTTGAAAAATAAACGTTGATATTTTCAATGAGTGGTGATACTTCTACATCAAAGACAGATAATCGGAGCACGTAAGCATATTATATTGTTTAGTAATCATAATTCAAAAACGAAATGAGAATATTTCCGTATCCTTATAGCTCTTTGATCCTATAACCCTCGCCTTGGGGAATTTTGAGCAGGATAATTTCCAGTGTCTACATAGAATTACTTGAGGACTATAATGCAAATTCTGACACTGAGAGTAACATAGTAACAATCAGAATCAAATTAACCCTTTACAAATTGGTTAACCAAATTCCCTGGAGAACAAATCCAATTCGCTTATTCCTACAGCGTCAATCTTATCCAAATAACTTCATTTCACTAGATTATTGCTGAAGTTCGAAGGTCGGCGAATATTCATTGGATTATTTCATTCAATTATGGATTTGCAGCCCTCAATCCAGTCAATACGAAATGACTGTTTACTCGCACACGATTTATGACACTTACCTTCGGCTCGTATCGAGCTATCCTGATAGTTGCATAAAATATGATTCTCATTCAATTCACTGTATATTTAAGCTGTGGGAATGACATTTCAAATTAAGCCCTTCTTTATACAGTGTTATATTTAGGGTGTTTAAAAAATGATTGCCCCGTTGCTAGGGTAGGATCACTAGAAATTTAAATTTTTTATCAAGAAAAAAAAAAGAAGGAAAATCTAAATAATATACAAATCGAATAATAACATAAACAATTATGGAAATAACTGAAATAGCGTTCAGATTTTTGATTCCTCTATCAAATCTCCATCATTCTCTAAACACTTTTAATATATCTTTCGCACGCGTTATTTCCAACTCTTATTAGTTCTTTTGGTGGTATATCACTGCAAACTGTTATTAATCTTCATCTCAACTTTTTCTTTCTTGGCCTGAATTTCTCAATTTGTAGCCAGATCATTTAATCCTGACTACCATCATGTCTGGTATTATTCAAATTCTTAAAAGAATTCTTATACACGGAGACTTGAAAAATTTAATTATCCAAAAATTGTAACGTTGATAAAAAACACCCCTAAAGAAATATTGCTTTGAAAATTGAAATAGGAGTATTTGTGGCTAGTTTAAATCGATTACCATTATCGGAATTTTTGAAAAAAAATGCGTAAACTCTTCAACTTTGCTGGAGTTTTTGTGATCGCAGTAGGCTGAGAAAATGCGATTGATAATTTTTTGCTGCTCGACAAAGTATAGATAAATTTGAGTAGTATCTTATGAGGAAAACAAATTCTCAAACCGTCCTAGAAATACGAAAGTACAGGGGTGGAGTGAAACAAATTATAACACACTGTATATGATTAATGATCGAATAGGTTATTGCACGTTGTAGGTTCAATCAGCAGCGACAAAATTCGGTCTATATAATCCTCATTAATCATACGTTTACACCGAGTTTTATACCATCTAACTGAACGATTTCAGTATACTAGTCATTTTAATGAATCTCAAATTCTGATGACATCACCTAATAGTGTTTTCTCCGATTGTCAATAGACGGTCGGCGCGTTAAAGTACCTGTGACGTCAGTACCGCTGATGTTTTTTCTTGGTCTAACGAGGGTATTTCTTAGGGAATTTATTTTGGGACAAAAAAATTCTCTGTGTATTTTCTCATCGATTTCGGACACAATGAAGTTGCTGGCCCTTCTACGTCTTCATGCGGAGCTCGAATCTCCACAATCCGTTGCATCAGAGTTTTTGTGATCGCAGTAGGCTAAGAAATTGTGATTGATATTTTTTTTGCTCGATAAAATAGATAATGCTGAGTAGTATCTTATGAGGAAAAAACAATCTCAAGTCGTCCTAAGAATACGAAAGTACAGGGGTGGGGTGAAGCAAATTGTAACACACTGTATATGATTGATGATCGAATACATTATCGCACGTTGTAGGTTCAATCAGCAGCGACAAAATTCGGTCTAATCCTCATTGATCATACGTTTGCACCAAGGTTAATACCGAGGTTTATACAATCTAACTGAACGATTTCAGTATACTAGTCATTTTAATGAATCTCAAATCATGATGACATTTCCAGTGTTTTTTGTTGATTACCAATAGACGGTCGGCGCGTTAAAGTACCTGGTCCAACGGGGGCATTTCTTGGGGAGAATTTATTTTGGAAAATCCAGTAGGAAGAAATTAGATTTCAAAAAAAATATTTGTGTATTTTCTCATCGATTTCGAACAATCTTAAATCGTCCTAAGAATACGAAAGTACAGGGGTGGGGTAAAGCAAATTGTAACACACTGTATATGATTAATGATCGAATAGGTTACCGCACGTTGTAGGTTCAATCAGCAGCGACAAAATTTGGTCTAATCCTCATTAATCATACGTTTCCACCGAGGTTTATACGATCTAACTGAACGATTTCAGTATACTAGTCATTTTAATGAATCTCAAACCCTGATGACATCACCTAATAGTGTTTTTTGTCGAATACCAATAGACGTCATATACAGATATTAGGGTATATTTTGTTCGTTGGTATGTCTAGAGGTGGAATGGCTATATAGATCTGCTCGGACCCTATTCTCAAATGGTGAGATTTTTTGTCGCATGCGAGATTTCTACATTGTCGAACAAAAAACGTAAGTGCCCATTCTCGAATGACGCATTCGAAAATTTTTGATAGACAAATTGTAGAGTGGTCTTAAGCAGCCGACATTTTGATGTCGAATGCGAGATTGAATATTTGACTGATTTCTTCACTTGTTAACTTGGGAATGGCAGTTTCATTGATTGAAATTGAAAATTTGGAAAATCAAGAAAATCATCAACGGCCACTAGAGAACGTATATAATGCGATCAGATTTTTATCGGACATAAAATGTATGAAAACATTAAGGTAACGAATTAGTGAGAGTCCATTGCACTGCTAGTGAGTGCTAGAACCATTTCTGGTATAGGGACATAGGTCTTCTGCATGTTTTTCGACAGATAAAAGTGGCTCATTCTATTTTTCTTCCATCAAGTTGAGTGTTTCCTTCTGAGATGAAATACGATAACTTTTTGCTTTTCACTGCCATTATTATTTCAACATATCATTGACATAACCTCCATCGTAACAACAAAGAAACCACAACACATTGGCACAGAACACATTCGAGAATCGTTAATTCGATGTTGCCAGTTCATGCTATTCGACAAATTTTGTCTCATGCGAGTATGAAGTCGAAAGCAATCGAGAATACCACACTTTAACGTTGTGCGACAATTTCTATCGACATATGTCGCATACGACATATTTCGTTCGACATTCGAGAATAGGCGCCCTGATGTCTCATTACGTCTAGAGTGGAAAGGGTTAATCATACGTTTCCACCGAGGTATATACAATCTAACTGAACGATTTCAGTATACTAGTCATTTTAATGAATCTCAATTTTTGATGACATCTCCTAATTGTTTTTTTCGTCGATTACCAACAGACGGTCGGCGCGTTAAAGTACCTGTGACGTCAGTACCGCTGATGTTTTTCCGTGGTTTAACGGGGGAATTTATTTCGGGAAATCCAGTACGAAGAAATAAAATTTCAAAAAAATTCTCTGTCTATTTTCTCATCGATTTCGAACAAAATATCTCAACGATCTGTTTCCTTTCTACGTACAGGGACAGCCTCGGCCGAGAAGCCAACTTTGTGATGCGTTCTTCGCATAGCTATCCAACGCACCAGAGATCCTTGGATTCCACGACCTCGAGGTCAATCTCTCAAGAGCGCAAAGTCCAGGATCAATATAAACGAAGGACGATCCAGGATGTTGAGAGGAGGAAACCTCAGGGCGTCGTAGTACAAAAAGAAACCAGAGAAAGGTAGGTGTTTGATGTTTATGTTTTGTGAGACGAGGCCACATGAGTGATTCGCCATATTTGGTCTACCTCACTCGCATTTTATGAAGCAGACCTGTTTTGATTGTATACAAGGTGTCTTTGCAAATACTGATGAAACATATTCCTCTTATAATAACAATTCAATTTTATTCAAGTGACTTCAGTAAGAAGTTTCTGACGTTTGGCCTCTGACCAAATGCCATTTATTCATAATTCTATATAAATTCCAAATACGGATGAATAGATGGAAGGGCTAATAGTGGAGGTAAACAGGTTATTCTGCGTAATCATTGCCAGGGAAATGGTATATTCAATAGATATACAGGGTGAATCAGTTTATTTGTAACAAGACTTCAACAGTTCAAAGAAGATATTTTTGCAAGATGAAATTCTCATGTATGCATATCGGAACCTCTTTTTCGATATAATCACAGGAGATGTTCGGGATGTGTTGTATGTATTTTTTTTGTTTTTCATGTGTTCCCATCTTCTCAAAGCTTTTGATCATTTCAGGTCTTCTAGTCAATCATTGAGAAATGTCAAATGGAGTGTGTTCGAAAAATGAATTTTCATCACAAGTACATTATTTTTTGCATTTATCAAGGAATTCATAGTTTTCTGAGAACATATAAGGAGCAGAAAGTATCCAAATAGAACACATAATCATAATTTATGTTTCATTGAAAGCAGAGGCAGCAAGCAAAAAAGTTCAAGAGGGTAAACTTTGGCAACCCCCAACCCAAATGTGTATCGCCCTGTTGTTAATCAAAATAGCCTAATAGCCCCAAATATAGAGTTTTCCGAGTGTAATAGTTAAACTAAATTTCAATTCACTATTTTGAGAATTGTATGAAGAAATGTTGAAAAAATCTCGAACTTTGACTTCTTGTATATGGAAACGAAGCTCCTACGCATATATGTTCACATGAACTTTTCATTTCGAAAATATATGTTCTTCAAGCTATCAAAGTCCTACTACAGAAAACTGTCTCACCCTGTATATAGAATAGATAAATAGGTGATTTCTGTGAATATGTGTATGAGCGATAATGTATTTGCTCTCACGTTTTGTTGCATTATTGAGGGGTTCAAAGTGGAAGTGAACCAAGTCCATTATAGCAATCTATTGAGGTAGACCTTCCATAATATTGTTGAAACCTCCCACCAAGTGTGAAAGTCCTTCATACAAAAGAATCGATATAAATAATACAGGAACTATTTACTGACTCTGGGCCCTTCGATTATACGTCATTATGTAATGTTTTTGTGAGGCGATTTGATATATTTCAATATTTCAATCATGCTTTTCAAGAATAACAGCTAGCCCTCAAACCATAACGCCACTGAAGTAAATTTCTACGTATCTGTGAACATTCAAGAAACATGAAGAAATGACTGAATATTGAGATGCATTAGTGTAAAGGGAGTCTGAAGGGTTGAGAGAGCAGTATGTTTTCTTTGTAGAATTACGTAACAAGTACGATTTTTGTTTCGTGTCGG